CATGTAATTTGCTAAAAAAATAAAATAAGCAAGGAGTAACATTTGTGTCAAAGTCTGATTATGAAAACAAGAATACCACATTGAGCTCTGACTTCTCATAAACATTTGCCTGCATCCACCATGTATGATTCAGTTGAGTTGCAGCTCAACCAACACCTCCCTTTATTGCTTTGTGGCCGTTTCTCCATTGTGAACAGTCCCTTCTTGTTTTAGGTGAGTCTAATGAGCTCCAGTATATCGTAATGAGGCAGGAAAAACTAAAAGAAGTCAGCTGCCACATTGTTCACTTCACTTTGACCACAATGAGGATCCACACCAGCGTGAAAGAGTGTTTCTGGAAAGGCTTGTTAAGAAAATTGTGATCATATGTTCTGCTGTGTCGGCTTTTCCAGCGCTTTCTTTTTGCCGTCACGGGATGATCAAAAGGCCGCGACACAAACGTGTTCATATAATGCAGGGCAATTTAGATGCAATAACATTAAACTGTATAAAACAGTGATACTTTATAAGGACTGACGCCTTCGTGCAATCTAACATGTTCCCTTTTGTCTTGTGTAAAAAAGAAACCTTTGAAAATTTGTTTATAATGTGTTTTTTTCCTTCATTCTGCCCAGTGTTTTCCAATCTGACATTATGCACATTCTTCAACTGCATCTAATCAAGCAATTATGAGACATTTATAATCTTAAAAAATAATGGAATAGAGCGTACAGTAACTGATTTCCCCTTGCTTCAATGAAAGACAAAATGGTTTCCTAACAAGAAAAGTTGCGATTTCCTTAATGTAGTTGTGCTTTGCTTTATGTAGTTTTGTTTTTCTTAATGTAGTTGCGCTTTTAGATTTGTAGTTGCAGTTTGCACTTCAGGGCCACCGTAGATTCTCCCTTTATAACTGCAGATAACTTTTCCCTGCTTCCCCAAAAACTACTCAACTATCACTGTCAAATAGCTGAATGGAGGAGTATGAAGAATTGTTTTTAATATTTGTATTCCATAAATAAATTAAAACTCAAAATTCATAAGTAAGAAACAGGGATTAATGGTTTTAACAATGCTATTGTTCCTAAAGAAGTCCTCAGTGCAGCATGATGCAGCCATGTGTCAGTATGAGGATGATGCGTTAAGGGTCATGCAAAGTGTTTGTGTTTTTAACCAGGTAGACTTTGACTTTTTTAGACTTAGACGACTTTTATTGTCATTTTGCATGCACAGATTGTATACAAAATGAAATTTCCATTTCTTAAAGTGCAGCAGAGATCGGATGTAAACTGTGTGGGAGAAAAAACATGGTGCAAAAAAAAAAAAAAAATCGTTATGAAGTTCAGAGGATTAAATATATATGATGCAAATAAGAATGTTTTGGTTTGGTGATGTCATTGCGATGCAGAGTGTTTGACATGATTTAGAGTTTTCTCAACAGTTCATCAGTCTGATGGCGGTGGGGAAGAAGCTGTTGCAGAACCTGCTGGTCCTGCATTGAATGCTGTGAAGCCTCTTCCCAGAGGGCAGCAGGGAGAACAGTCCATGGTGGGGGGATGAGGGGTCATTGATGATGTCACGGGATAATGTTACACACAGTGCTGGGATAAAATGTCCCATTAGTGATCTTTTCTATAATGCGCTTCAATGTTTCAGCTGCTAAAGGGTTCCTTGTGTTAATTGTGCTTACTTAATGGGTGTCCTTTCGAGAATGTTTTTTATTTCTGACACATTTTTGCATGACTTATAAAGATTTTTCTAACTGAGCTGGGGAACTCTGCAGCTCATCCAGGGTTACCACAGGAATCTTAAGTCTTTCTTAGATTTAAGCTCGCTCTGCTTAGCCTGGGAGGTTTGTGGGATGGTCATGTCTCTGTTTCATGGTCTTCCTATATTCACAGGAAATATTTAATAGAACTGAGTGTGATGCTAAAAGATATGGATATTGTTTAAGAACCTAAACCTGAACACCTTTCATCCTGACCTTCTGTGATCCTCGGTCTTCATTATCCTGTCGATTCACTAATCTTATCCAACAAACTCTTCAGATAAAAGACTGGTGGATGCTCTATAGAAATGAGTTGACTCCAGAGTAAGAAGGGCTGGATGCTAATAAACACCAGATATTTTTTGGATTATTTATTAAATACATAAATAAAAACACAAATCAAACATGTGGTATTAATTGTCTACTTTAAAACTTTTTTCCCCCATTCATAAACTGCCATATAATTACACGTATATAGATAAAAAGTAATAAACGCTTCCACAGATGCCCCACATCTGTGGAATTCCCTCCCTGACACATTGAGGGCACCTCGGTCCACTGAGTGTTTTAAAAAAGGCCTTAAAACATTTCTTTCTAGCAAAACTTTTGGTCCCCCTTAGTTGTTTCTTTTTTCTCTTTTAAAGCAGCTTTTATTATTTTATTTTATTTCTTTTATTTCTATGTATTTCTTTTTTAATGCTTTTTTAAATGCTTTTTTTGTAGCACTTTGAGGCCTTTTTGGTGAAAAGTGCAGTATAAATTAAATTAATTATTATTATTATGACTAAGCAGGAGAAAATGGATGGAAAACGGATATACTGTAAGATGTGATGCACAAAACCACCACAGAGGGGCAGCAAAGGTCACTGAAAGCTATGTGCTGATTTATCAGTTGGAAGAGAACAAATTCAGTTTAAAAGCAACAAAGGAAACTCTGTAATAAAATATAAATCAGTTTATCATTATAAATCACATTTTCAGCTATACTTAATGAGAAAAAAAAAACAAAAAACTAAATTCAAATTTGTCTTACACTGCTTAAAGGCAACATTAAAATGCTCATTTTCAGAATTTAAAAAAATCTTTTCTACCTGGTGGTGTGACTAATGTGGAAATTGAATCTGCTTTTTCAAAAAGCAGATTAAAAGCAGAAGAAAAGTAACAAAACAAGCCAAAACGACTCCCCATTCTAAAGGGGTGGATCCGTTCAATTTGCATGTTTTCTAAAATAAGGAAACAAGGATTTGTTGGGCTGCTGGATAAAACCTCAATCTCAACGCTATTTCTGACATTCTTGAAAAACTGTCTTGGATGTGAAGAGAAACGTCTTCAAACTTGGAAACAAAGTCTAGTGGATTGTTTTAATTTAGTTTTTTTGTTTTTTTTTATTAATCTGCTTTATAATGAGAAACAAAGTTCAACAAGTGAATGATATGAGTAATTAAGCCAGTCGTCAGCGCCAAAATCATGACATCACTTAATGTTTTTAAATTTTATATCAGAATATTTCAGTTCAATGCATTTTAAAACCACAGTCTACCAAACTTGCTGCCCTTCAAGCTCCCTGCTTCTCACATGCAGAAAGAGGAATCAATACGCAAAAACAATCAAGATGAAATAGAATCAGTTAGGATAAATAGAAATTTGATGATAGTCCTGTTTTTTGTTATTCTTTTGCTCATCAGGAACTGTCATTAGTTTTTCAATCTTTTAAATGTCAAGAGTCTGTGGCAGAGAAAAATGCTCCCATGAAGAAAATGGCGCAATCATCCATGCAGGGGGTGGGAATAATGTAACTGTCATACTTGAAAAATGTCTCTTTTCATAGACTGGTGAGAAAATGGATTTTACCATTAACTAAAAAAAAAAAAAAACAAACAAACAAAAAAACAAAAAAAGGACTTTTGCACTTTTAGTATTAAACATGATGGATAACAGAGCATTTAAGCAAAAGAGAAGGCAAAACAAAACCCCCAGAATCATTCCAGTTTGAATTATGTATAAGGCTGATCATTTCTCACTGAAAGGATTACCTGTGTGATTTAAGGAAACAGAGCAAGAAACACACAAAATCAGTCATTTAAAAGGCCATTTATATCACAGACTTTTTTTTACAATCTAATACAAACTCATACACGTACATGTCACCACCTAAAACACCATTTCTAATGCAATAAACAGCCACCGTACAAACACAAAATAAGAGTTTGTTTGCTTAGGAGGGGTTATGGAGGGAGCCCACACACTCGTAAACTTCCAACACACGCACGCACACATATTCTTATGAATAAACGTAGATAATACCGAATTTAAGAGATGTAGCAGTAAAAAAGGGCATGTGGAGGGAAGTTACTTACAGTTTACAAGGAAGGAAAAGGGGAAAGGTTGCCATTCAGAGTGCACATGAAACACGTTTCTTTTTATTTTTTACAGTTAAAGGAATAGTACACCCAAAACATGATTAGCCTTCATTTTCTACTCACCCCCATGCTGAACTACACTCTGGAGTACTTTTTTGATATCTCAAATGCATCTGGAGATCTGGGAGGCTTCTTGCTGTCTGCTGACATTCAAATAATGGAGGTCTATGGCGCCCGAGGCAGAAAGGTCCATCAAAGTCCACAAAAAACGTGTCAATATTCCTCCATACTGCTCGTCCAATGTATTCCAAGTGTCCTGAGTGGGTAGCGTCCATAATTTACTCGAAACGAAGTCATTTAGAATGTTTTTAGAGCATAAACAGTAGTGTATAGGATTTCCTAAAAGCGCGTTCTCGAGTCTACGGAAGCCGGCAGACCAAACCAGACGAAAGTGCGCATTCAGCGTCTGCTCTGCCGATAATGCAAGCGTAGAAGAAGAAATGTGCTGTTTACCTGTGCAAAGAAAGAAACAACGAAAGAAAAATGTCTGAGGACTTCAGTGTTGAGGAAGAGCATGAGTTCTTTGCCGAGCTGAATGCGCACTTTCGTCTGGTTTGGTCTGCCGCGGTTTCCGTAGACTCGTGAACGCGCTTTTAGGAAATCCTATACACTAATGTTTATGCTCTAAAAACATTCTAAATGACTTCGTTTCGAGTAAATTATGGACGCTACCCACTCAGGACACTTGGAATACATTGGACGAGCAGTATGGAGGAATATTGACACGTTTTTTGTGGACTTTTATGGACCTTTCTGCCTCGGGCGCCATAGACCTCCATTATTTGAATGTCAGCAGACAGCAAGAAGCCTCCCAGATCTCCAGATGCATTTGAGATATCAAAAAAGTACTCCAGAGTGTTGTTCAGCATGGGGGTGAGTAGAAAATGAAGGCTAATCATGTTTTGGGTGTACTATTCCTTTAAGCCAGCGCAACTTTATATAAATATTCTTCATCCAAAAGTCAGTGCAGTGCCTTCTGCTCAGGCTTCACCCGGTCTTCCTCCTCGGCCTGCTTTACAGCCAGTCTGTGCCAGACCTGGTCCACTAATTACTGCTTCCACCAATTATTCTACCAATCTGAAACTTTTGAAGTGGTTTCTGTGTCTGCTTTTCTGTTTGTCACCCAGTACCTCAAAAGTCCAGCTGTGAAGTACTTTAAAAAACAAAACAAAAAAACAATTAGACAATAAAGAAAAAGAAGATCCACAAATGTACAAATGTCCGCTTCGGTTCTTTCTTCTCCTGAATTCCCTTTTTGTTCAAGAAAAAAAGAAGTTTGCAAACGAAGCACTTCTATTGGATGCCCCGGAAGAGACACATTGCAAAAACCATGGCAAAAAGCTGGAGGGAAAGCAAAGGAAAAAGGGAGAAGTTAGAGGATGTAATTGGAGGGACAACACAGCAGTTTCCTTTGCATGTAATGTCTTCTTTACCTGTTTTGACCTGATCTATAGGGACAAACTCCTCGTTCTTTTAAGGCTGGTTTGCAGGAACATGATCTTGGGAAGTACGTGTACCCCAAAGTGTATTTTACATGCTGTTTCACCTTACATCTAATGTATTTCTTAGGATTTTACATCTAGGATACTGCAAACTTAAAAATCTTAACAAAAAAATATATTTTCCCCCCCTCTGTGCTCCAAAATAAAATTTGTTCAACCCCTAAAGCAGGGGTAACCAATTAAAAATCAACCAGTGAAGGTCCAGAGAGATTTTTAATCACTCCGGACTCCAACTGACATCTCAACTTTAATCAATCCATTATTTGAATCAGATTTTAACACTGAAATAAAATTAGGTTTTTAGGCATCCATGTTATACATTAAAAATTTAAATAAAAATATAAAAAATTGAATGTTTTTTCATTTTAAAATCTTAATTGTGTTTGAAGTAGAGAACAACCAACGTATCCTCATTATCAATTCGTATGAAATCGTACGTAAAGTTTTGCACAGTATTTCGTATGTTTTGGACGTTTTTCCTCGAAAAAACAGATCAGTGCGCATGCGCTGCCAGACAGATGAAAAAAGCAGATCCGCGGACGGACGTAAAACTGGGAAAAACAATCCAATAATTACTTCTTGATGTCTCTCACTAGGTTACTTGCTGTTTTGTATCTTAGCGTTAGGGTTAGGGTCAGTGTTAATTGTATCTTAAATTCTATGTTATTTAATGGTGCGTAAGATGCGCATGCGCAAGGATATCTTGTCTCGAGGCAAGACGTAAAAATATGACGAAATACGACGAAAAAAACGTCAAAAAACGTAAACAATTACTAGGGGTGTGCATTGGCACTGCCCTCACGATTCGATTCAATTCGATTCTACGATGCATTGCGATGCATCAAAATCCCATTGACTTCGTAAAATCCGAAATGTGCCCAGATATCCGCTTTCCAAGCTTTTGGTGCGTTTTTAATTAGGCCTACCCGTCTATTGCGGTCATCTCCCTCCGCCTCAGCCATCTTGATTGTTGTTGGTATGCCCACGGAAGTAACTGAAACTTCACAACTTGTCCATTTGAGGCCAGAAAATAAACAGTGACATAATCGATTATTGCACGTTGCCGCATCGATGCTGAATCGTGCATGCCCCGCATTGCAATGCATCGCTGAATCGATTATTGTTGACACCCCTAGAAATTACTGTGCATAACTTTTTGTACGATTTCATACGAACTGATAATGAGAATACACTGGAACAACAATCTTTCAGTTTTGTATATAGACAATTTCCTGACTCACTTTTTTTTTTAATAAAACACCTGAACTTTCTTTTTTCTGTCTTAATGTTGGCAGTGGGCTTTAAGCTGCCCTGCAAGGCTTTAAACCTGGGTTTAACCGGAGACTAAGCCATTCTCAAGCACATATCAAGGAGCTCATTCTGATCCAGATTTATTGTTGATTCTGTTCATGGTGGAGAATCCTGCTTCACAGCAGCAGGTTGAGCCAAACATCCTCTGAATGTGCAGGGTCATCTTTGAGCACGCCATTTCACTTTTCTTTCACCAGTTCACCGCAGTTCTTCCAGCAGTCCACACTTTCTCTGCTCTCTTTTTCTCATGGTCTTCTCCTTCTTTCCCATCGCCCGGCTTGCCACAGGTTTGCCTGCTGTGTCTAAAAGTAGCAGCAGCAGCAACCCAGACTGAAAGCTCATTGGCTCATTTGGATCATGTGCAGCCTGGAGCCGGGGCTAAAGTGAAATTAGGCGCTGTCATCGGACAACATGCATTAATTTATAAATATTTGAAATCGGGTAGAGTCCGGATTAGCCAGCAGGGGAGTCTGGATTCTGTCCTAAAGGCTTCATGACCCTTTGGAAATATTGCATGAAATCTAAATATATACATGGAAGCTTATATGAATTATTTTCTAAATTGCTGTAATTCCAACCCACTTGATCTGTTTTACTGTAATGTAATACTTTTATAGCCACTGAATCTTGGCTTCTAAAGAAAAGCTTCAATGAACTCCATTTTCTGTGATACCAAACTCCAACACAAGATGGCAAACTTTCCATAGGCTATTCAGATTCCACTTACAGATTTGGTCCCTCTAATTTATACACATTTTAAATAGCTAAAATGGATATTCTTTTCATTTTTATCAAAGAGAAAAAAAAAATTAGCACATTTTAAAAGTGCCTCCTACCTCAATGGTTAGCACTACAATAGCCAGGGCTCCAGCAACGTAGATGTATAGTTCAAAGTAGTCGACCACGGCAGAGTAACAGCCCTGTGGACACACATGAGGATGACATGCTAGGCGGTAAATCAATTGACTATAAATTTGCACAATTACAGAGATAGTTAAAGCAACATCACAGCTTCAATGGAGCGCGGCTTGGAACAAAGGGCCCCGCTGAACGAATGGGAAGCGGGGCCTGAAGCCTTTTAATGAGGGCTCTTTGTGTGAACGAGCCGCACACACACACACACACACACACACACACACACACACACACACACACACACACACACACACACACACACACACACACACACACACACACGCACACGCACACGCACACTCCCTTAATATCTATTCATTCTTCCGATGGCACGAAAAACAACAGGTGGGAGAAAATGCTGGTGTTAAAAACCTCCCTATACCTGTTACCACTGTAATTACACTCAAGGCTCTTTCTGCACCCATGAAATAACTGATGTAGGAGTAAATTTTCATAGATATTAACTCTAAAGCTGCTTAATTTCTAATTTTTCTAATAGCCTTTATTTTTAAGCACATATATCCTCCTTAAATAACCCCATTATAGCTATGTATGCACAGACTCATCTCTTAGCTGCCTTCTCGGTGCTTCACATGACCTACCGTGACACCCAGACAGAGAACAGCACTAATAAGACATGGCAGAGTAAGGCAGATCCTGAACGCGTTTATCAACTGTTTTCTGCTCTAATTAAGCCTGGAGGAGGTCTAGAATGAGGCTGAGAGGGGGAAAAGCTAAAAGGTTAACATGGCTGATGCCAAAAGTTACCTTGTTATAGCGGAACATCATATTGCCTGATAAGCACTGCTCCTGGCTGCTATAGACTCTCTCTCCGTTCACAAGGACGCGCTGGCAGCAGGCTTCTGGCACCATGTGATTCTGGTTGTTCAGCCTGAACAGGCTGTCCTTAAAATCCTCTGGGCTGTTCACTCCACAGCAGTCAAACTAAAAGGAAGGAGAAGTTGTTATTGCCAAGCTCCTTTGTGTCGTGACCTGTGGTCAGTTGCATGTGGGCACCAACCAAGCATAAATATTGGCCTAAATATGAAGTGTTTTTTTTTTAAATAGCAATTTACGGCCTGTGTGCAGAGTGTCAGGTAAAAAAAAGAGCCCATTGTTGCTTACTGTGGTCATAATGGCGTTCCATGTGGATGTGAAGACGTCACTGTTGTTGTAGCCCTGATAATGACTCTTCAGCTCCTTGGTGAAGTACTCTCTGGTGAGCTAAACCAACAAACAGAACGAGCAAAGATTAATCAAAAAATCTTAAAGGTACATCAAGCAAAAGTTCATCTGCTTCTGTCTCCTTGAACCCCAGTGGGCCTCAGCAGATGGCTGCTCACACTGAGCCTGGTTCTCCTGGAGGTTTCTTCCTGTTCAAAGGGAGTTTTTCCTCTCCACTGTCGCTACAAGCATGCTTAGTGTGAGGGGTTGCTGTAGAGTCAATGAGTCGATGCAATCAGCTGGTTTTCCTTAGATAGAAAACTTGACTGGATGATCTGGTTGAACTGGAAAGTGCCTTGAGACGACATTTACTGTGAATTGGCGCTATAGAAATAAACTGAATTGAACTGAAATCTGTGGACACAAATGGCATCTATTTAGACCACTTTGTCAAAATGAGAAAAATGTCTGTAACACATACAGGTGCTGGTCATAAAATTAGAATATCATGAAAAAGTAGATTGATTTCAGTAATTCCATTTAAAAAGTGAAACTTGTATATTATATTCATACATTACATACAAACTCATATATTTCAGATGTTTATTTTGTTTAATTTTGATGATTACAAATGACAACAAATGAAAATCTCAAATTCATCATATCAGAAAATTAGAATATTACTGAAGACCAATAAAAACAAAGGATTTATAGAAATGTTGGCCAACTGAAAAGTATGAACATGAAAAGTATGAGCATGTACAGCACTCAGTATTTAGTTGGGCCTCCTTTGGCCTGTATTACTGCAGCAATGCGGCGTGGCATGGAGTCGATCAGTCTGTGGCACTGCTCAGGTGTTATGATAGCCCAGGTTGCTCTAATAGTGGCTTTTAGCTCTTCTGAATTGTTGGGTCTGGTGTATTGCATCTTCTTCTTCACAATACCCCATAGATTTTCTATGGGGTTAAGGTCAGGAGAGTTTGCTGGCCAATTAAGAACAGGGATACCATGGTCCTTCAACCAGGTACTGGTAGCTTTGGCACTGTGTGCAGGTGCCAAGTCCTGTTGGAAAATGAAATCTGCATCTCCAAAAAGTTGGTCAGCTGCAGGAAGCATGAAGTGCTCTAAAACTTCCTGGTATGTGGCTGCGTTGACCCTGGACCTCAGAAAACACAATGGACCAACACCAGCAGATGACATGGCACCCCAAACCATCACTGACTGTGGAAACTTTACACTGGACTTCAAGCAACGTGGATGAAGTGCCTCTCTTCTTTTCCTCCAGACTCTGGGACTTTGATTTCCAAAGGAAATGCAAAATTTACTTTCATCAGAGAACATGACTTTGGACCACTCACCAGCAGTCCAGTCCTGTTTCTCTTTAGCCCAGGCAAGACGCTTCTGACGCTGTCTGTGGTTCAAGAGTGGCTTGACACAAGGAATGCAACAGCAGAAACCCATGTCTTTCATACGTCTGTGTGTGGTGGTTCTTGAAGCACTCACTCCAGCTGCAGTCCACTCTTTGTGAATCTCCCCCACATTTTTGAATGGGTTTTGTTTCACAATCCTCTCCAGGGTGCGGTTATCTCTCTTGCTTGTACACTTTTTTCGACCACATCTTTTCCTTCCCTTCGCCTCTCTATTAATGTGCTTGGACACTGAGCTCTGTGAACAGCCAGCCTCTTTAGCGATGACCTTTTGTGTCTTGCCCTCCTTGTGCAAGGTGTCGATGGTCGTCTTTTGGACAACTGTCAAGTCAGCAGTCTTCCCCATGATTGTGTAGCTTATAGAACTAGACTGAAAGACCATTTAAAGGCTTTTGCAGGTGGTTTGAGTTAATTAGCTGATTAGAGTGTGGCACCAGGGGCCATCAATTTTGAACCTTTTCACAATATTCTAATTTTCTGATATGATAAATTTGAGATTTTCATTTGTTGTCATTTGTAATCATCAAAATTAAAAAAAATAAACATCTGAAATATATGAGTTTGTATGTAATGTATGAATATAATATACAAGTTTCACTTTTTAAATGGAATTACTGAAATCAATCTACTTTTTCATGATATTCTAATTTTATGACCAGCACCTGTATGCAACAGACAGATCAATATAACTCAACATTCAATTTCCACAATTTTTATGTCAGTTTTCAGACGAAGTCCTCCATACAGATGCAAACTCTTAAAAATATCCATACATGGCAGCGAGATAAAAGAAAATCTACCAAAGCTGATTGAGAGCTGATGCAATGAGTATCATCACCAGGTTTCCATGACAACCATCAAACATAAGAAGCCTTTTCTGCCCTACAGCACCATCAGAAGCATAACAATGCAGAGGTTGCTTGTGGTTACTGAGACCTGCATCAAAACATGGTGGATTTTAGAAGTCAACGTGCCTCTGCTACCGTCCTGACTGGCCAAGAGAGCTAGTCACAGGACTGCATCAGCTGATTCCTGTCAGGGAAGGCTGGCTCCACAGTTAGAGTGCTTTATGTTGCGAGGATGCAGGGTTCGTGTCACTAGCCAGGAGCAAGCGTAAAATTGATCCATCTGTTCGGCCAGACAACAGGATTGCAGAAATGTCCAAGAAAAGTTACTATCAGATGAGGAAAATGTTACACCACTACTTTACTTTAACAGTAACTGGTAAGCTGTCTAAGTTTTTATCTTTGTATCTGCAACTTGCATCATCAGCTGAATTATACATTAAACTTCATCCAAAACAAACGCATTGGTTCATTTTTTTTTGTGTTTTCTGACTATTAATCCTTCAGCAGCAATCTGTATAGCTATTAATCTACCAGAGACTTGGAATGTAGTCCCTTCATCTATACCCTTCCATTGCTCTTATGGAGAGCTTTAGTATAATAGCTTCGCTCTCCCTAGGATGAGTCCTAGATCTATATTACTCTACACCATGTTGCATTTTATCCATTTTACTTCATTTTTACTAGTTTTAATCTCTTTTAAAATTGGTTGTTCTAATTTATTTTCCTTCATGATTGGTAAAACACAGCTATCTTCTGTGGAATTATATGCACCAGTGTTTGTTTAGTTTTTTCCAAGAATTTTAGTTTAGAAAGCGTTATGTTAAAATCAAAAATTAGATTAGTTTTTCTCCAAATAGTCTAGAAGCTGTAAACTGTGGAGAGGTCGGTCAGGCAGAGATGTGGGTAGAAATCCCAGCATGCATTGCATGCTGAAGACAACTCCCGGTGCACAGAGGGGTAGAAAATAGAAGTGATTGTACCTTTCATCCAATCCTAATTAAAAAAGTAAGCAGCCACTGTACTCAGTTCAAGGCATGGAGCTTATTGGTCAACGCGTATTTCATATTTTTTTTTTTTACTTTTTCGCTTTGCTTTGAGCTAAACAGAGCTGCTAAATAAATTAGCTCTGGTTTTGTTTCCTCTCAATATGCAGATGCGGCATTTAGGCTAAATTTAAACACAAAGTTTACCGTATTAAAAAATCTCTTTCAAAAAACTGTAATTTAGTGCAAAGAGTGGTCAGTTTAAATTTTCAGCTTGCAAATTTTGCAATAAAATTATAATAAGTCTTTCATCAGAATATTTTGGTTTTTGCAGTTTGTGTTCGGTTGACTTGTTCCTTCTCTTCAAAACCAGGTAAAAAAAATTAATCTTCCATCACTGGGTCTTTAAAAGGATAATAATTTAAGATAAAGAGTAGGGAGGCACGATATAATCGGCCCCCTATCGGTATCGGCCTTAAAACTGAATATCGGACATCGGCCACCCCACTGATATTTAACCCGATATTTGATCAGCTTCTGAGTTTCTAAAGTCTAAAAACAAAAACAAAAATACTACTTCTTCTTCTTCCTCAAAAACTTATTTTTTACAGACTTAAAAACTTCTAAAGACGAGGGAAAAAATATTGATACATTAAAATATCCCAATATCTTCATATGCTGATATATTGCCATTTAAAAACACCATATCAATCTCTTTTACTAATGAAATATTGCTATATGTCATCGTTATGCTACGAAATCCCCCAAAAATTCACGAAATGTTGCCATATTTTTATATGTTGATATATTGACGCGGTATCGATCTATTTTACTAACAAAATCTCACAACAATTTGCAAAATATCACGAGAGTTTGTAACAGAACGATGAAATTTCATGAGACTTTGAAAGTAAAATAGATCGATACCGCGTTTTTAAAAATCTATTTGATATCAGCATATGAAAATATATTTGAGTATATTATTTTTCAAAGTGTCAGAAATAGATAACAAAACTGCTATTTTCAATGACTACTTATTTTTGTCCAGCTTTAAAATCAGTATCGGTTATCGGCTACATGAGTTTTAAAATATCGGCATATCGGATATCGCCAAAATCCCAATATCGTGCATCCCTAATAAAGAGATCAATTCAGAATTAAAACCAACCACAGTTTAATGACCATCACAGTTCTCAAATCTAAATCCAATATAAAACCAATGGTTCGAGGTGAGACTAAAAAGCAAAAAACAGAATAATCCAGAGAAAATTAAGACTAATCTGCAATTTTCTTAAAACAGTTATCTCCTAAAGGGATTTTTTTCTTTCTTTTTTTTTTTTTTTGGCCAAAAAGTATTTTTCAAGGAGTTGAAATAAAATATTTATTTGAGGGTTTTAACTAGGAGGAGGTAATAATTATGTTCAGAAAAAAGCTTCTGTCCTCATTTGCCATTTGAACTCCTGCAGGAATGGAAGACAATGAATACTTCTTTCTGTAACATTTCTTTAAAGGAAATTTGGACCTCATTACGAATGACAGCTACGTACCCAAGAAAGCTTTAAAGAGTTTAAGAGAATAGAAAAAAATGATGCAATCTGAGGTAACATTAAACTGGGAAAAGAAGGACAATTTAAAGGGGTGTGAAACTACTATGGATGTTGCATTAATTATTGATTTTTTTATACTTTAAATACTGTGGAAGAGAAAAAAATAATTCAAATAAGTTTTGTTAGGTCAAAAAGTAAAATGATTTTGATTCCCAGCCTGTTCAGATAACTCTCTGTTAGAAATATTTTATTAATACTCCGTTTGTGTTTCATGGGTTGTGTTCTAATGAACTATTATGATGTATAATGTGTGATTCATCTTTTATTAACTCTTGCTTAAGATTGTTCCTGATAAAGGTCATGCAACGGACGGGTTTTGAAGGAGGCCTGAACAGCCTCTATTACATGTTTCTTCTAATGCTTTGTTTTAACATATGTGCTGAAGTTTAAAGTAAGATCCTTTTGTTTCCCTTCCCCTTAGTTAAACCTCAGCTGGTGTAATTAGGGACATCCCCTTTTCTTCAATATATGGAAAGGAGAAAGCTGAAGACTGCAGAGTGGGATGGAGATTGTAAACTCCGCAGTCTTCTTCCTATTCTCCTCGCGAGTAACTAAATTAATTGTCTCTGTGCCTTCTTTCTTTCCCTGTATGTATGTATGATGTTTTAGGTGCTTACACCTGACACTCTCCAAAGATAGCAAGTTTGCTAATTCAACTTACGTGCTCTCGGAAAATGAAGGCAAGGATGGCAGCAGCCAGCTCTGCTAAGAAGATCAGCAGGATGAGCATGAAGAACTAACAAATGAACAAAGGAGAGGGGAATCGTGTGAAAATTACAAATTGTGTCAGTCAGGGAAAAAAAAATGCACACCAGGTTTTTGAAACAAAAACAAAATATCACTCCCTGTGCCCTCTTATGTCAGCATTAAAACTGCAGGATTCCTGAAGTGTTAAGGGAAACTGAAGGGCATTTTTCCTTTTCTGCATATTTAAAACTCTCAAAACTAATAAAATAAAACACGAGTTAAGAAAAAAGAACATAAGCAAAAATTTCTATGGACTCACAAAAAGGAGAAGACACTTGTTCTCACGAATGGCTCCACAGCAGCCCAGGAAGCCCAGGAGGAAGAGCATCCCTCCCATGCCCAGGATGATGTAGACTCCAGTGAACAGCAAAGGGTTGGCGGCTACGATTTCCCTGAATCCTGTGGGGTCAACTAGCACCCACACCCCCACTCCTAGGAGGAAGGAGCCTCCCAGCTGAAGGAAATAAAAAAAAAAGGTCACTAAATAAAGACATAAAATATTGGATCGATGATATCTATTCCATCCTGTACCAAGCAAAGCTTTAAAAAGTGGATCAAAATAACTGAAAGGATCATAGAACAACCAAGCGACATTCCTTCCCTCATGTTGCTGCACACTGTCAGCCAGTTCTCGGCAAAGAACTCATGCTCTACCTCAACACTGAAGTCCTCAGACATTTTTCTTTCGTTGTTTCTTTCTTTGCACAGGTAAACAGCACATTTCTTCTTCTACGCTTGCATTATCGGCAGAGCAGACGCTGAATGCGCACTTTCATCTGGTTTGGTCTGCCGCGGTTTCCGTAGCGGCGTGATCGCGCTTTTAGGAAATCCTATACACTACTGTTTATGCTCTAAAAACTTTCTAAATGACTTCGTTTCGAGTAAATCATGGACGCTACCCACTCAGGACACTTGGAATACATTGGACGAGCAGTATGGAGGAATATTGACATGTTTCTTGTGGACTTTTATGGACCTTTCTGCCTCGGGCACCATAGACCTCCATTATTTGAATGTCAGCAGACAGCAAGAAGCCTCCCAGATCTCCAGATGCATTTGAGATATCAAAAAAGTACTCCAGAGTGTTGTTCAGCATGGGGGTGAGTAGAAAATGAAGGCTAATCATGTTTTGGGTGTACTATTCCTTTAAGCACAGATAGTAACAGCATGGAAACTGATGGAGCATATCTGATTACTCAGGTAACAGCAATTAGAGATTCATTGGTTAACGGCAGATTTTTTTTTTAGGTTTCTCTAAAGCCTCAATTTGTGGATAACAATAAAATATGAAGTTTCAATCAGATATTGATATCAGATATAGGTTGATATTAGGCAAAAAAATAAGATATTTCATTTAGGGATGCACGATATAATCGGCCCCCTATCGGTATCGGCCTTAAAACTGAATATCGGACATCGGCCACCCCACCGATATTTAACCCGATATTTGATCAGCTTCTGAGTTTCTAAAGTCTAAAAAAAAAAAAATACTACTTCTTCTTTTTCCTCAAAAACGTATTTTTTACAGACTTAAAAACTTCTAAAGACGAGGGAAAAAATATTGATACATTAAAATATCACAATATCTTCGTAAGCTGATACACTATATTGCCAAAAGTATTTGCTCACCCATCCAAATTATTGGAATCAGGTGTTCCAATCACTTCCATGGCCACAGGTGTATAAATTCAAGCACCTAGGCATGCAGACTGTTTTTACAAACATTTGTGAAAGAATGGGTCGCTCTCAGGAGCTCAGTGAATTCCAGCGTGGAACTGTGATAGGATGCCACCTGTGCAACAAATCCAGTCGTGCAATTTCCTCGCTCCTAAATATTCCACAGTCAACTGTCAGCTGTATTATAAGAAAATGGAAGTGTTTGGGAACGACAGCAACTCAGCCACGAAGTGGTAGGCCACGTAAACTGACGAAGCGGGGTCAGCGGATGCTGAAGCGCATAGTGCGAAGAGGTCGCCAACTTTCTGCAGAGTCAATCACTACAGACCTCCAAACTTCATGTGGCCTTCAGATTAGCTCAAGAACAGTGCGCAGAGAGCTTCATGGAATGGGTTTCCATGGTCGAGCAGCTGCATCCAAGCCATACATCACCAAGTGCAATGCAAAGCGTCGGATGCGGTGGTGTAAAGCACGCCGCCACTGGACTCTAGAGCAGTGGAGACGCGTTCTCTGGAGTGACGAATCGCGCTTCTCCATCTGGCAATCTGATGGACGGGTCTGGGTTTGGCGGTTGCCAGGAGAACGGTACTTGTCTGACTGCATTGTGCCAAGTGTAAAGTTTGGTGGAGCGGGGATTATGGTGTGGGGTTGTTTTTCAGGAGCTGGGCTTGGCCCCTTAGTTCCAGTGAAAGGAACTCTGAATGCTTCAGCATACCAAGACATTTTGGACAATTCCATGCTCCCAACTTTGTGGGAACAGTTTGGAGCTGGCCTCTTCCTCTTCCAACATGACTGTGCACCAGTGCACAAAGCAAGGTCCATAAAGACATGGATGACAGAGTCTGGTGTGGATGAACTTGACTGGCCTGCACAGAGTCCTGACCTCAACCCGATAGAACACCTTTGGGATGAATTAGAGCGGAGACTGAGAGCCAGGCCTTCTCGTCCAACATCAGTGTGCGACCTCACAAATGCGCTTCTGGAAGAATGGTCCAAAATTCCCATAAACACACTCCTAAACCTTGTGGACAGCCTTCCCAGAAGAGTTGAAGCTGTTCTAGCTGCAAAGGGTGGACCGACGTCATATTGAACCCTATGGATTAGGAACGGGATGTCACTTAAGCTCATATGTGAGTCAAGGCAGGTGAGCAAATACTTTTGGCAATATAGTGTATATTGCCATTTAAAAACACCATATCAATCTCTTTTACTAATGAAATATTGCTATATGTCATCGTTATGCTACGAAATCCCCCGAAAATTCACAAAATTTTGCCATATTTTTATATGTTGATATATTGACGCGGTATCGATCTATTTTACTAACAAAATCTCACAAGAATTGGCAAAATATCACGAGAGTTTGTGACAGAACGATGAAATTTCACGAGATTTTGAAAGTAAAATAGATCGATACAGCTTTTTTAAAAATCAATTTGATATCAGCATATGAAAATATATTTGAGTATATTATTTTTCAAAGTGTCAGAAATGGATAACAAAACTGCTATTTTCAATGACTACTTATTTTTGTCCAGCTTTAACATCAGTATCGATATCGGTTATCGGCTACATGAGTTTTAAAATATCGGCATATCGGATATCGGCCAAAATCCCAATATCGTGCATCCACAATTTCATTTCATCTTTGTTTGACAGGGACAATGCAAACAATCATAGTGACAAAAGAAAGCAGTTTACTTAAGTGCTGCACATAAAGCATAAAGCTAAAGGAAATTTCCAACTCCTTCCTTGTTTAGACTTTTTTATACAGAGAAATTTATATACACTACTTAAAAAAAGAAGATCAAAATGTAGAACATTAATCTCATAACAACTCTTACCTACTTAAAATAATTAAAAGTGAATACAGATCTGATTTGTCTCATGCCAGTTTTTCAAACTAGTATGGAAAATGTCAGCTACAGTCCTGATGTCAGATAGTAATGAGTTCCTTAGAGCCCTGAACAGCGAAGGCAGTCTGTCCACCTGGTCCTCCATTATCGTAGACTTAGACAAACTTTATTGTCATTTTCTACACACAGGGTGTATACAAAATGAAATTTTATTCAATGTTTTTCCAACATTTAACCTTTTTTTGTTTGCTTTTTTTGTATTTTACATTGAAAGTTTGAGCAGCTTCTAGTAACCGTATGTAGCTTTATCTCTCAACAAATGTACTTAGTGGATGCCTTTGTCAATCAATTTAAGGAAACCAAGATTACTAAAACTATCAAAGCTCATTCATTTATATTTTTCAAGGATGCTACAGTGGTGATACCACTAGTTGTTACTTTCTATAACTTCAGCTCAACACTAAATTCTAACCCTGAATACGAAGTAACAGCCTCTCCCTGTAAGTATTAATTTTTCAGAGGGAACTGGTAGTAAGCAGGCATGGGATTAAAGAAAGATAGAATTTTTCATCTTTAAATCACCAGGTCAGGGAATATCCATTTGAAAAGTGCATGAATCTGGTCAATAAAAAACTTCTGTTGGTGAGAAAGGAGCATGACTGTATTCTTTTTGCAGTGGCACACGCATTACAACTGATGTCTCTTTTTTCTTTGCTCTTCTCTATCACATCTCTAGTGATAAGAACATTCAAACCCGAGACCTGATGTCCGATCATTCATGACATTACTAATGATATCATGATAATTATCACCTGAAACTATAAAATAACATAAAAAATTATTCATGGTGCGACAGGAGTTGCTGTATTCACCTCTTGAGTTGTGAGCCTGGATCTAATCAGCTAATTAGAGTAATTTTCATGTGAATGTGCTTTACTGGAGGCATCCATGTTTGTCAAAGAACACTACTGCCACCTACTGGTTAGTGACGTCACGGTGCGGTATCGGCTGTTGATCAAGTCCCAGTGCTGTATCTGGTGTTTGTCACAACGCGCTATTATCCAAGTCATCTTGAAAACATTCTTCTTCCAAATGTTGGCTACATATTACGTGTTTTTTGTCTGGCCAGAAGTTCGATGGCAAATCCTCCCTCTATAAGTTGGCGATCCAACGACCAACCCGTCCGTGGAGGATCAGGAATCAGAAAGGTGGAATAACTACTTTTTTTTTTTCTTCCTACTTTTACCCGATGTATTCCAACTAGAGACTGACATTTTTTTCTGGAATCCCGCGGGTCACGGGATTCCCGTGGGATGGGAGTCAGTATTAGTAACGATCACGTGATTGGGAGGGTACAGGATTAAACATTAACGGGAGCAGACGGGAGCAGGAGCAAACCAATAATAACTAAAAAAAACTAGGATTGATGCCCAAAAAATAAAATAAAATAGAAAGAAAAAAATGTCAGTACTGGCGCCGCCATTTTGTAGTTTTTGTCCTTGAAGCCTACACTATAATGCGAGTCAAAAAAAACTACACGACCCAAAAACCAACAGTGTTTTTCACCCACGCTCAAAAACAACAATGAAGGGACCAACAGTTACTACAGTTAGAAACAGGAACTTAACTGACCCTTCATAGAAATTCAGATTCAATGTATTGGCAGAAATCTTATTGAAGACAACAAGAATGGGAGTGGTGCGGGATCGGGAGTCATTCTGAATGGGAGCGGGATGGGAGTGGGAGTAATTTCACCAGGAGTGGGACGGGACAGGATTTAGATTTCTACTCTGGCCTGGGATCGGGACGGGACGCAATTTTTTTCTGTGGGAGTGGGACGGGACAGGAGTGAAAATCCACTCCTGTGTCAGTCTCTAATTCCAACATCCAGCTGCCATGCACGTGGGCATTGCCAGTTTCACTATAGCTCTGGTGAATTTCAATGGTGAAGTCCTCTGGAAATCTTCAATAATTGTTGTTGATTGCAGATGTGTCTAGTAGTTCCCATTGATTTAGCTTGTAAAGCGGGGAGAATGGCGCTAGGCTTACCGCACCGTGACGTCACTGCTGGAAGATGGCAGGAGGGAGGGGTTACTATATTTGGGCAAAAATGGCCGCTCCCAGACTCATTGATCGCGACGAAAACTATTATTTTAATTTTTTTTACTGTTCAACGCTAAATTTGTTAAATAACTCCAAACGTATTAGTTTTAGGTATAGATAATGATCCATTGATTATTCATTGCTGACCGGACTTTTCCTACAAAGATCAAAAACCTGGTTTCTCTGGCCCCGTCCACACGAAGTCAAAACGAACACGAAACGCTAATATTTTCCAGAACGTTTGTCGTAAAGACGGAGACGTAAAATAAATGTGATCGTCCACACGAATACATGGAAACGCTGCAAAATGTATGCCAGGCCTGTAAGTGGCGCTGTGGTGCCAAAGCAAAAATAGGTGAAAACAGGCAACGAAATGTTGGGCATGCGCAGTAATATTTATACAACAACCAAACCGGAAAATGGCCCTGCGGGTCAATTTTCGTGGTTCAGTCAAATTCAGGTGCTGAACTATGTGGTCGATATTGCTCTGTTCTTCCTGGAGATATTCCAGAAGAAGAAGATTCTGTTGTAAGCCCGACAGCAGGGTGAGTAGCATGAGCAGCAACCATTCAACACAGTACGGCGCCATTGTTGTTGTGATACTGTGTGATACTCGCGCATGCGTGTTTAGAGGCGACGCTATGACGCATGCGTGTAAAAAAAAAAAATGCGGTCAGACCTTAAAGATGGAAACGCGAAAACGGCATTTCAAAATCTTCCCACTCTGAAGGCTTAATAAAAAAAAGATTGTTTACAGACCCCCGAAACGCCGGCTTCGTATGGATGAGAGGCTGGTTTGGTGAAAAATGTGTGCGTTTAGGCCAGGGTTTGGCTTCGTGTGGACGGGGCCTCTATTCACAGGCTTTGGTTGAGGCGAGTGTGGAGATATAATCCGGCTTTGATAAACCCCCAACCTGCTGAAGATGGCTGCAGCCTCCATCCTCCACCTTATTTCCTCTCACTAAATCCTATCCACCTCCCCCACTGGGCTACTCTTGTGATTAAGAAAAGTAGATATTGGGGGGGGGATCAGAGACTCCAGCAATCCTCTCCTCCCTGTAGTAAATTATAAAACCTGGCTGTACTTAAATTCCTTTTAACTTAAAAAAATAGGAAATAAAGAATACTGGGTACTTTTATAAAAGCTCTACAAAGATCCCTCTGAAAATGTAATGATAAAAACACTAAAAGAAAAGCAGCGTAGTGCTAACTGCAGAGATCATTTGCTGCTCTACTGCTTACATTATCACCCGAACCTTTGAACAACCACAAGCGAGTGGAGTCTGTAAACGGTTTTGGATGCACCTAATAAAGCAGGAAAAAGACACAGAAACGCCCCACCCCCACACTCCAATGGCTCCGACTAACGGGATTACCCTTGATTGTCTTATCAAGACTGATAAACTCAGGTGTCAGTCACAAACTCCATATGGCACAGTGAGCCTCAGATGTGTGTCAGCACACTAAAATTTAATCAAAAGAGAATTTGATAGAATCAAGATTGCCTCATCTAATGAAATGCAAATGTGGTTCCATTAGTCAGTTGGGGACAGAGCAGGCAGAAGCCCATCTTAAATCATTATACTGACACTAACTTCAGAGGTGGCTAGACTAAGAGTCTTTGAGAAAGAGATGAAAAGTACTTACAAAGATGAGAAAATTAAAGACAAACATGAGGTACTTGATGCAACTGAGACAGTCCCCCTCCATGGTTGTCCCCCGAGCTGAAGCCTCTCCCTGCCCCTGGAAGAAAAAAAACAAGAAATATGCAGCATAAATCCTGTTGCATGCTGACAGTATTCCCATTTTCCCCAATATTGAATGGTAATTAGGTTTATGGTGAGCTCTTGCAAAAGTAAAATCAAGAAAATCTGTTGGGCTTTTTGGCATCAAGACAATTATTCTTATTGCCACATTGCCAGACAGGACACTGTAAAAAAAAAAAAAAAAAAAAAAGGTTTATGGTGAGCGATAAAGATGACCGTGGATCTGGTCACACTTTTACGAGTTCTACCAAACAGAACACTAACAAATAAAAAACTTTTAGGTAGTTTGACTTAAGTTCAGATTCAAATTTCCCCACCTTAAGTGTTTGTCAGATTTAATCTCTTAACCCCTATAACCCTACGGACCCACCGGTGGGTCCAGCTGCTACATGACCTCGTAATTTTAACAAACCCCCAGTATTGATGTAAAAAACACATTTGGCACAGTTTGGTGACATTTTGGGATAAATGTGCCAAAATGGCCTCTCCGCCTAAGAAATTTCTCACTAATACCATTCAAAAATAAATAGGATTCATCTAATTGAGTCCAAATTTGGTATATTTTTACACAACATTTAGATTTAAAAGTCTGTACTACTTTTTTGTGCTATAAATAATATTTTGGTAGTGTTTTGCAATGTTTATTTCAAAGAAAATTTTGGCGAGGTTCAAAAAATGCAAAATATTTAGTATTTTGTCCCTAATATTTCAGGCAGGGTCAAAGCTACAATGGTGCTGACACCAGAAAACCATTCTATGACATCTTACCTTTACAGAGGTACCAAAAGTTTCTTCTTAAATCTAATAGCTGTGAGGCTATAAGTTATTTACTTTTGTGTGTTTTTGTCAGGCATAAATTTATTTATACCCCCTGAGGGTGTAAGAGGTTAAGAATTTGAAATGTTGGGTTATCTTAGCCTAATCTAACCCATATCATGATACTCATCCCAGTGTAAGAATAGTCATTAGTGAAATGGCAGATTTTTCCTATCAGCGGCTCTTGACATATGGTGATCTTGGACTATCTAGAGCTGGTTTATCTCTGAGCGTTTTAAGGACATAATTCCTGACTGAGTCTCCTTGTGCATTAACCAAAAGGGGATGTCCTTTTTGTGCGAAGCATCTTTTTGTTAATGTAATGAAAGGCATGAGCTCCTTTGCACCCTCCACCTGACATCAACACACTTTACTTGATGAAGGTCTGTCCTCAAAGCACTCCTAGATAATGAAGAACACCTCTACTGCGCAAGGGGACGACACACTGCTTCCTGTATCCCTGACCCTCCCCACATATATACAGCCGGCTACAAACTTCCTACAATGTCTTAACCATTTCAAATAGATTAGAACTACAATAATATATTGTTCATATACATGTTCAGGGGTTGACGTTAAGGATTTTTACCACTTGCCCAACTTTCACATTTCATTTGCCCAGAAACAATTTTTACTTGCCCAGTATAATGTTTGATAAATATTAGGGATGCACGATGTTGGGATTTTGGCCGATATCCGATATGCCGATATTTTAAAACTCATGTAGCCGATAACCGATATCGATACCGATGTTAAAGCTGGACAAAAATAAGTATAAAATAAATATGCTGATATCAAATTGATTTTTAAAAACGCGGTATCGATCTATTTTACTTTCAAAATCTCGTGAAATTTCATCGTTCTGTTACAAACTCTCGTGATATTTTGCAAATTCTTTTGAGACTTTGTTAGTACAATAGATCGATACCGCGTCAATATATCAACATATGAAAATATGGCAACATTTCGCGAATTTTCGGGGGATTTCGTAGCATAACGATGACATAGAGCAATATTTAATTAGTGAAAGATAGATATGATGTTTTTAAATGGCAATATATCAGCATATGAAGATATTGGTATATTTCAATGGATCAATATTTTTTCCCTCGTCTTTAGAAGTTTTTAAGTCTGTAAAAAAGAAGTTTTTGAGGAAGAAGAAGAAGTAGTATTTTTTTTTTTTTAAGACTTTAGAAACTCAGAAGCTGATCAAATATCGCGTTAAGTATCGGTGGGGTGGCCGATGTCCGATATTCAGTTTTAAGGCCGATACCGATAGGAGGCCGATTATATCGTACATCCCTAATAAATATAGTTCCTAATATTCATTTTTGTATATATATCAATAAAACATTTTCAAACTAAACATTGCTTTAAACTGTTGTGTGCTTGGAAAAATATAAATTGTAATGTTAAACATCTAAAAAAAAATTGACAGGTTAAAAACTTAAGATAAAACACAAGTCAAGTCAATGTCACAAATGAATAACTTTTATTTTAGAGTCACAGTATGTTTATACAAGATAATACTACTAATATAATGTGACTTTTCTAGAGAATCATTATACATAGTTATTTTATTCAGGGTTTCCACAGTCTGACATCATTTCAGAATTCCCTGACTTTTAACGGACTCAGGATTAGTTTTCCCTGACAAAATAAATGCAGCAACAAGACAATAATAATAACATAACAGGTCACCAATCTAACATGTTTAGTTCTATAACATTTAAATGCATCTCTCCAATGTCTAAGACAACAAATTTAGTGAAAATTTTTTAATGTATGACCTGCATCACTGTACAGAAGACTGCCATATGATAGCGCTTTCTAGCTTTTTTGTTGTTTTGGTAACTACATCAAAATTACCACTAGGTGGACAAAAAGCACGTCCTCTGGCGGAAAATTGACAGGCTTTTTCAAATCACGCAAGAATGTGTACAAAACAACAAAAATGGTGCCGGCAAGGCTTCTGGGTCGTTTTCATCGAATGTCTGTGATTTTAAAGTATTTTTGAGTGATAAAATTATTTTTTTTTTGCACTTGCCCGGCGGGCAAATGAAATGAAATTTATACCCTTCCAACAATAAAAGCTACTTGCCCCGGGAGATGGGGCGATGGTTAACATCGAGCCCTGACTGTTGTTTTACCCCAACAGAGAAATTCAACCGACCTTTTAGAATTGTAAGCTTACTTTAGATTTTTAAGACTACAACATATTTTAAAAAGTTTCACCTTTAGGTTTTAAAACCTTTTTAATTTTTATTACAGAGGTTATAAAGTGTTCTAATTTCTACAAATTCCTTTATTATTTATGCCTAAAATAGAATGAATACCTCTTAATGCAACCTTTAAAAGTAATTTGGAAGCTATTGCAACGTATCAAGCATGTCTAATTGAAGACATTTCAATTTTATTTGTTTTGTTCTGAATGGCTAATTGTGTGGTTAATGTTTTTATTAATATCAGTTACATTATGAACCAATGAGGAGCTTATTGATAGTAAGAATGGGAGGGGATTTGAGGGTGAGAAATATTTTCTGTTTTGTGATTGAAGTTAAACTACTTTAGCATCTTTCCAAAAGTAAAAAAGTAAAAAAACAGCAATCCACTGGACTTTGTTTCCAATGTTGAAGACGTTTCACTTCCTCACCAGGAAGCTTTTTCAATAGAAAATGTCAGGAAAAGAGTTGAGTTCCAGGCTTTATACAGTAGCCCATCAAAGCCTTGTTTTTGTTTTGAGAACATCTAAATTGACACGATCGGGTCCACCCCTTTGGACGGGTAGGGGTGTAAATAATAATCGTTTTGTATCGATGCATCGATCAAACAGCCGACGATCCGATGCATCGATACGTCCGCAAGAGAATCGATTCATGTTTTTTTTTTTCCTCTGGTCTATTTTTATCCATTTGCTCCTGAGCGTAATTCTCCCTCCCGTGCTGCGGTGGCGCTAAACCTATTTTGCCCTCCTACCTCGCTTCCTGTTTATTATCCTTACAGCAGTGTGTTGCAGTGAGCTTGATGCAGACATTTTTAATTTATGCTCAATATTGAAGCGTGGTCTGTGCTACACGCTGTGGGTCTAGATACGGCCGAGGCGCCGAGGAAGTGCGGGCGAGTTTAGTCCGACGACGGAGGGACATGAGGGCCAAAAAGAGCGGAGATCCAGGTGGAAAAAGGGTCCCAGCGTTCTCGCGCACCTCGCTCTTCTAGCGGGTCAAACTTCACGAGTTGTTTTCCGCAATTTCGGTCATAAAAACAAAACAAGCCGGCCTCCTGTCTGCTGCACTGTCTGCGGTCAGCTACAATTTGGGAGTAGAGGGGGCGGGACGTCTGGAGATGAGGTGTTGAATTGCACTCATTGCACTGATTTTCTGCAGTATTTTTTGATGCAACTTTTCTATTTCTGTTATTTGCTGTTGTTTCAAAAAAAAAATGCATAACGATATTACAGATTTCATTGATTTATTTCAAACTTGAAACTTTGTTTAGCCTGTAAGGTCTAAAAAAAAAAAAATTTATCGAATCGAATCGTGGTGTATTCTTGAGTATAGAAAATAATCGAATCGTTGGGTCAGGAAATCGATACTGAATCGAATCGCCATGATGGGTGTGATTTACACCCCTAGTAGGGGGCATTTAAAAGCTTAAAACTCAACGCTAATTCTGACATTTTGAATTGAAAAATCTTTCTTTATGGGAAGCGAAACATCTTCAAACTTGGAAGCAAAGTCCAGTGGATTGATTTTTTTTTACTATTTTGGAATGATCTTTCAGTTGTTGCCAGGGAATTTCTCCTTTAGCTGTGTTAGTTAGAAAACAACCTTAATTGTCATCTTGCTATAATAAATGTAAATAGTCTCTTCCCTTAACCCTTTAAAGCCTGATCCAAGAATAAAACAAAACAGAAAATTACTTTTTTTTGGTCTGAAGTCCTTATTTGGCCTTTTAACAAAATATGTAAAAAGAAAAAACAGAAGTACATTTTTGATATTAATAATTTATTACTATGCAATAAGTCAAAATAATTTTTTGTGTAGTCTTCTACTGGCTGTTATCAGGTATATCTGATTGTGTATAATAGGATTTTGAGCAAAGTTTTTACCATTAAATTATGCAAAAGGTGTCAGACGCAAAACATTTCAGAAACCGTATGAATC